ACCAGCCTATCATATGTCTCTGGGATGTCTATATGTCTGTTTATACTATTGTATTTTGTTGATATCAATGCTTCTAGTATTAATCTTTTGTATTTACTGTTTATGTTTGTGTAATGAATATTCGGGTTTGCTAGATTGAATTCATGATCTGTGTGTCTGATATGTTGCACTATTAGAGATTTGGGGTCTTTGTTTTTAATGTTTCTTCTGTGTTCGTCTATTCTGTCTTTTATCTGTCTTCCTGTTTCACCTACATAGACATTATTACATTGGGTGCATGGTATGGAATATACTGCTTTGCTATTGTATAGTTTTGATATAGGAATACTGTTTCTGGTAATGGGGTTTCTTAAAATGGTTAATATACTCGGGTTGCTTTCATAATATGTTCTGATACCGTGTTTGTTTAAAATTCTGGCTATGTGGGTACTACTGTGGGAATATGGGATTGTACATATCGATTTATAAACATGATTATTTCTTATGAGAGAGGGATTGTAGAAATGTCTTAATATAAAGTTTTTCGGATAACCTATAGAAGTGAGTTTGTTGATCAATAATTGGGTTTCTGTATCTTTTGAGAGTTGGGTGGTACAATGTGTATATATTCGTTTGGAAAGGGTTTTAACTGTGTTGATCTTGTGACTGCTGGGGCAATAAGAGGAATAATGTATATAATCTGGAGTGGAATTTGGCTTGTGGTATATTTCTGTTGTATATTGGTTTTGCGTTTTTAGTATAAGTACATCTAGAAGTGGTAAGGTGTTATTGTTTTCTGTTTCTATGGTAAAATCAATGTCATTATGTATGGACTTTAGTTGGGTAAAAATGGAATCTATTTTGTTAGAGTTGGATATACAAAAGATGTCGTCTATGTATCTCTGCCAGATGATGATGTCTGTGGAAAACAGGTTGGTTATCGTTTTATCTATTTTTCTCATGACTATTTCTGCCAAAGGTGAAGAGAGAGGACTTCCCATGGGGGAGCCCTTGGATTGTTTATAAAATTGGCTATTGAACGAGAATATATTGTGTTGTAGGCTCAGCTTAATTAATGAAATAATTTTAGAGGATGTATCTGGAGGAATATTATTTAATGCTAAAATTTCTATGGTGTTATCTATTATTAGTTGGTGTGGTAAGCTTGGGTACATATTAACTACGTCAAATGATATCATGATGCTGTTAGGAGAGGGGGGGGAGACTGTATATTTTCTATAAATTTTGGTATGGATGTGATGGATGTGGTGGTAGGATTGTCTTTCAGAATGGGGATAAGGAAGTTTGCTAGAAATTTGGCTAATGGGGCTATAGGAGACATATTATATGCTATGATAGGGCGAATAGGAATACCTGGTTTATGGGTCTTGGGTTGGCCGTAGATATAAGCAGTATTTTTTATGTTTCCTAGGAACAATTTCAAGTTTTCTGCAGTAATAGTATTGCCTCTGTATAAATTCCTTAGATCTTTTGTATATTGGGCAGATGATTGAGATTTTTCATTGGTGGTTATAGGTTTGAATACTATGGAGTTGTTTAGGATTTCGTTCATTTTTGATATATAATCTAGAGTGTTCATAACAACTGTTTGCGATCCTTTATCTGCTTTTGTAATTACAATTTCTTTCTTGCTTCTTAGTGAATTGGCTATATGTTGATTATTGGGCTTAAAGATAGGCGTTCTTGATGATTTTTCCAAGGAGGTAGTCACTAAGTTTCTGATTTTTGATTGTTCATTATGTGTTAGGGTAGATATGGCCGTTTCTGAGCTGAGCCTACAACACAATATATTCTCGTTCAATAGCCAATTTTATAAACAAACCAAGGGCTCCCCCATGGGAAGTCCTCTCTCTTCACCTTTAGCAGAAATAGTCATGAGAAAAATAGATAAAACGATAACCAACCTGTTTTCCACAGACATCATCATCTGGCAGAGACACATAGACGACATCTTTTGTATATCCAACTCTAACAAAATAGATTCCATTTTTACCCAACTAAAGTCCATACATAATTACATAGATTTTACCATAGAAACAGAAAACAATAACACCTTACCATTTCTAGATGTACTTATACTAAAAACGCAAAACCAATATACAACAGAAATATACCACAAGCCAAATTCCACTCCAGATTATATACATTATTCCTCTTATTGCCCCAGCAGTCACAAGATCAACACAGTTAAAACCCTTTCCAAACGAATATATACACATTGTACCACCCAACTCTCAAAAGATACAGAAACCCAATTATTGATCAACAAACTCACTTCTATAGGTTATCCGAAAAACTTTATATTAAGACATTTCTACAATCCCTCTCTCATAAGAAATAATCATGTTTATAAATCGATATGTACAATCCCATATTCCCACAGTAGTACCCACATAGCCAGAATTTTAAACAAACACGGTATCAGAACATATTATGAAAGCAACCTGAGTATATTAACCATTTTAAGAAACCCCATTACCAGAAACAGTATTCCTATATCAAAACTATACAATAGCAAAGCAGTATATTCCATACCATGCACCCAATGTAATAATGTCTATGTAGGTGAAACAGGAAGACAGATAAAAGACAGAATAGACGAACACAGAAGAAACATTAAAAACAAAGACCCCAAATCTCTAATAGTGCAACATATCAGACACACAGATCATGAATTCAATCTAGCAAACCCGAATATTCATTACACAAACATAAACAGTAAATACAAAAGATTAATACTAGAAGCATTGATATCAACAAAATACAATAGTATAAACAGACATATAGACATCCCAGAGACATATGATAGGCTGGTCCAAAAACTAAAATAGATTTTTCCGTTTTCTTCATCACACCATTTTACAATTATGCATTTAATAATAATATCAGCAAATTGACTAATTTACATAACAATAATTTTTCTTAAATAATAAAATATAATACTTCATAATTAATCCTAGATATGCAAAAATTACCTGTTATATATATGTATATACATCTTTACTTGAAATTGTTTCATTATTTCCTGTGGAAGGGCCGCTTACGCCCGAAAGCTAGAAACGTTTTTCCCAATAAAAGAAACTCATCCTTTTTGATTCTATGCGTATTACAATATATTAAAAGGATTAATCGTATTAAGTAATGATAAATGTCCAGGGACACTTTTATTTTTCTCTTTCTCTCATCACTCTTCACAATTAATCCTATCATACTTCATCCCTTAGGTTAGAAATAATCGTTATTTCTCCTTAATATAAGATTATATGAGTCAAATACAAAATAAGATTACATAATGATAAATATATGAATAAATAGATGTAAATATATAGAGATTAATTGGCAAATATACATATACTAGACGAATGGCCCGGGCAACGCCCGGGTTTTACCCGAGTGCGTATATATTTTAAAAACGTTTTAATTCAAATACTATTCGTTACAATTATAAATTGGCGCCATGGATGTCACTCTTGTGAAACGTCCCGTTCCAAACTGTGTGTTTTTAAAATGTTTTAATTAAAATATTATTCGTTACAATTATAAATTGGCGCCGTGGATGTCTCTCTTGTGAAACGTCCCGCCCCAAACTGTGTGTGTCTTGAAAATATAAAAATAAAAATGTGAATTTTCATAAAGATTTCATCATGTCGATTTTTTTTTTTTGCATTTCACCTACTAAATCGATAGAGATAATTACATTTGCATCATGAACTTAGGTATATTGACTAAATAGAAAACTGCATAGTAATAAAGATCATTTTTTAAAGGCACCATATCGTTTTTTTTTTCAATAAAATCGAAACAAAAATTAACGATAAATAACGATAATTGCCTTAAAAAGAAATTGCCTTTAAAAAAAGAAACATTCGCGGTGATTTTGTCTTGCATTCGTTTATACAATTATTATATGCGAATGACCCGGGCAACGCCCGGGTTTTACCCGATTAAATGATTTTATTCAAATACTATTCGTTACAATTATAAATTGGCGCCGTGGATGTCATTCTTGTATAATATATAAATGAGTTTTAAAAATTGTAAAAAAAAAAAAATGCATCGGCCGGGAATCGAACCCGGGCCGCCCGCGTGGCAGGCGAGCATTCTACCACTGAAAAACCGATGGTTATGAAAAATACCATCCGTGAGCTTCAGACAGACAAACAAACAGACAGAATAAGGCAAATATATAAGTAGACTAGACGAATGGCCCGGGCAACGCCCGGGTTTTACCCGAGTGCGTATATATTTTAAAAATGTTTTAATTAAAATACTATTCGTTACAATTATAAATTGGCGCCGTGGATGTCTCTCTTGTGAAACGTCCCGCCCCAAACTGTGTGTGTCTTGAAAATATAAAAATAAAAATGTGAACGGAAAAATATGTCCAGGGTAGCCTAGTGGTCATGGCATCTGCCCGGTAAGCGGAAGGTCGTGGGTTCGATTCCCATCCCTTGACACTTTTTTTATTTTATCCATTCTGACCAAAATCTATCCGTGAACTTCACACAGTGAACTTCACACAGAGAGAATAAGGCAATTATATAAGTAGATAATCCAAATTGTGCCTTATCACACACTATTTTTTTATTTGGCCTTATTACCTTGTGTTTATAATCTATGATGTAATGCCGGCGGCGCGCGCCCGTTGGCTGCTGGCGAGCACGTGACCTCCCTGTGCGCGCGCATCCGTGACAGAGCCGGCCGGCCCATGACGGTCGTGACTATATATGTTGATGGATGGATAATAATAATAATTTAATAATAATGATAATGATCATAATGATGATGCGCGCGCACCCGTGACAGAACCGGCCGGCCCATGACGGTCGTGACTATATATGTTGATAATAATAATAATAATTATCATTATTATTATTATCATTAGATAATGATCATGATCATAATGATGATGCGCGCGCACCCGTGACAGAACCCATGACGGTCGTGACTGTTGTTAATGTTGATAATATAAACGAGTTTTAAAAATTGTAAAAAAAAAATGCATCGGCCGGGAATCGAACCCGCGGCGAATCGAACCCGCGTGGCAGGCGAGCATTCTACCACTGAACCACCGATGCTTTAAAAAATGGCCATATTTAGGTATTCATTCCATTCCGGATTAGTCCGGGTAAAAAAAAGTTCTTCAAATGAAAAAAGAAATAGCCAAAAATACTAATCAAAATGCAGCCGAAAATATTCCTCAGGTTTATAAAAAGCGACATGCAAAATTTGGTACCAATTGGTTCAGTAGTTTTTGAGTTTATCGCGAAACAGACAGACAGACAGAAATTGACTTTTATATATATATAGAGATATAGAGATATAGAGATTTACTCTTCATTGTTGGCTTTTTATCTTACATTCATTCTTCATTGTTGGCTTTTTATATTACATTCACTCTTCATTGTTGGCTTTTTATCTTACATTCACTCTGTTGGCTTTTTATATTACATTTACTCTTCATTGTTGGTTTTTATCTTACATTCACTCTTCATTGTTGGCTTTTTATATTATATTTACTCTTCATTGTTGGCTTTTTATCTTACATTCATTCTTCATTGTTGGCTTTTAATATTATATTTACTCTTCATTGTTGGCTTTTTATCTTACATTCATTCTTCATTGTTGGCTTTTTATATTACATTTACTATTCATTTTTGGCTTTTTATCTTACATTCACTCTTCATTGTTGGCTTTTTGTCTTACATTCATTCTTCATTGTTGGCTTTTTATATTACATTCACTCTTCATTGTTGGCTTTTTATCTTACATTCATTCTTCATTGTTGGCTTTTTATATTACATTCACTCTTCATGGTTGGCTTTTTATATCATATACGAATGACCCGGGCAACGCCCGGGTTTTACCCGATTAAATGCTTTTATTCAAATACTATTCGTTACAATTATAAATTGGCGCCGTGGATGTCATTCTTGTATAATATATAAATGAGTTTTAAAAATTGTAAAAAAAAAAAATGCATCGGCCGGGAATCGAACCGGGGCCGCCCGCGTGGCAGGCGAGCATTCTACCACTGAACCACCGATGGTTATGAAAAATCCCATCCGTGAGCTTCAGACAAACAGACAAACAGACAGAATAAGGCAAATATATAAGTAGATATGACATAAATGTACAAAGTCTTCATTGAGATCAGAGAGATCTTGTGCTGCTAATGACCATTTAATGCACACGGAAGACAGACGATCGTAACAATTGGTGTCAGAAGTGGAATCTTTGTGTCGTGAATAAATTTCTTGATGGCTGTGAAACCAGAAAAAATGGCGGTGGAACAGTCAAGAATCATTCAAGCCCTCACAGCAAATAAAAATAAATCTGTGGTAAGTCCAATCAACAATCTACAGTATTGTATGAAAAGGTTGCCTTACTTCTGGTATCTTTTCTTAAACTTACTAAATAAAATAACTACACTTGGTAGTATGAAATAAACTAAGATTAAAAGTTTATATAAAAGAGGGTGCACCTGGATCTGTGAAAAAAATAAAACAATTTTTTTCTCAAAATATTTCGAGAGATTGCTTCCTCTTTATCAATTAATATCGTACAATAAAAAAAAATGATAAAGAGGGAGCAATCTCTCGAAAAATTTTGAGAAAAAAATTGGTTTTTCTTTCTTTACAGATCCAGGTACGCCCTTTTATATAAACTTATTTTATGGATCGCCTTTTGACTCAAATAATATTCGAATGTAAAATGTTTTCTCGAATATTTTGATTATCTAAATAATATTTTAGTTGGAATAAGAGGCATATATACGAAATACAATAATTAAAGTTAATCACTTTGTATCAATATTCATCTTAACTAACAAATATTTAAGTAATCCAACGTGATGGGCCATAAACTGCTGGATGTTATAAAATTTCCACATTAAAGTGCCGAGTTATAGTCTAAGATCAATATTGATGTGCACCAACCTTTGTTACACGGTAGACACTTCTGTCGAATGTACGAACAACTTGTTCTATGAGAATTTCTCACTGATCTTTTTCTGGGCGCATTAAACTCCTAGTTCGGTTTTATATACAGCTATCTACAATGTTTAATTGACGTTTAATTTCATATTCCTTATCTTCTTCTTTCTTATCTCCACTCAAACATATTAGGGTATCAATCTTGTTTGACAACCATCATGACTGAGTGAAGTAGAAGGCATCTACCTTTGTCATTAAGACTGGTAACACTACTCAGTAACAGGCAGACTTAGCTCCAAAGGAAATGGCCGCCCCTGACATGAGGAAAAGACGCCATGTGCCCCTGACGCCATGACACTAGTATCCCTGGATCATCTTAACATGGAGTACAAAACGCTGCTCATCTTGTATCCCTGGATCAGTAGCCCTTACAGGGTACTATCAGCCAGGGCAGCTGAGCCCAGGTTTTTTTAGTGAACTTGTTACTGCTCCCCCTCCTCCTTTTTCATCCGGGCTTGTGAACGGCAATACAAAGTCAAAATGTAAAATCCGCACAAATCAGAAAATTACCAATGATGAGAGAGAGAGAGATTGAAACTACTCTATATATTACAATTGTTCATATAAGATAAAATATAAGGTTAAATAAATAAAAAATAAAAGAGAGAAAGAGAAGAAAGTAATAATGATTGATAATAATGATAATAAAAATTGAAAATTTTGATGTTGAAACTTCCTTTGCTTTTATGTTCGAAATTATAATTTAAAATTCAATTATCCAATTTAATATTTCAATAAATAATACCTTTTTATCAATATTGAGTAAAATATATCAGGCCTCCAGGGAGAAGTATATTTTAATAATTATACCAAGTTTTATCCTGTAGAAGGGCGTTCGTGCCCGAAAGCTAGAGAATAAAAATGTTTTGAAAAGATAATTTTCCCTGAAGGCATGATATACAAGTATAATTCCTCTAAAATGTCGTATATATATATAAAAATGATGCAAAAGTTGAATTGTACGAACTTTCGGCCTTTCAGGATGCCTAAATGACCAGTTGTTTTGGTCGCTGAGTTTGCACCACGCTGACGAGGGCCAAATGCCTGATACCTGTACGTGGTTAGCTTTTCTTGATTAATAAAGAATGGGTATTTGGCCAATTCTGTAATAATTGAAAATCAACGGTGATCTTAGAGGACAGGCAGCAACAGTAGTCTGGAAGGACAAGCGTCAACAATGATCTGGAAGAACAAGCATCAACAGTGATCTGGAAGGACAGGCAGCAACAGTAGTCTGGAAGGACAAGCGTCAACAATGATCTGGAAGAACAAGCATCAACAGTGATCTGGAAGGACAAGAATCAACGGTGGTCTGGAAAGACAAGCGTCAACAGTGATCTGGAAGAGCAAGCGTCAACAGTGATCTTAGAGGACAGGCATCAATGTAGTCTGGAAGGACAAGTCATCAGCAACTTTTATTTGCACGATCAGGAGATGCCTTTTCCTTTATTTATAAGGAAAATATTCAAATACAATCTTTGATAGCTCTCTCTTTGATAGATTGAACTAGAGAAATCGCTAAAAGGGTTCACAATTGTGTGTGTGTTCATGAACCAGGCCATCACAATATTTGCTTTACACCAGTGGACGCATTTGAAAATTGTTTTAAATGAAAAGGTAAAAATTCGAAATACCATCATCTTATAAAAGCTTCGAAAGAATTGAGCAAACAATGAATATCAAATATTGGTCTATGTTGAAATATTCTTCATTATCTTCAATGGTACTCATGGAAACTGTAGCTGTTGTTGATCGTGTATCTAGCTCAAGACAACATGTCCAGGAGTTACGACCAGTAATTCCAAATCAATGCAATTGTCAATAGACTGACCGATGGTCATCAATGTATTGAACAATTGATTCATATTATTGGAACATTGATCTTTGGATTTATTATTGAGAAACATTAATGAAGTCATCAATTATGTATTGGGGAAGGTTAATAAATGAAAACATCAAAACATATAGACCTAATAAGAGTATAACATATTTATAAATTTATGAGCCAATATTAGTAAGAATGGTAGGAAAGTGGTTCTTTTATTTAGAAAAATCACGCAATAGCGAAATCTCTCTTCTAAGTAATAAAATTGAAAAGTACAAAAGTAGGAAAAAATTTATTTATTGGTACAGTAGAACGTCTCTTAAAGAACACCTGATTGCAGAGCCAAAATGTCTGGAAAGACAATCGCCAATCTTGGTCTAAAAAGAGAATAATCAACGTATTCTGGAAGGACAAAAATCAACGGCGGACTGTGAAAAGACAAGCGTCAATGTTGGTCTGGATAAACAAGTGTTAACTTTGGTAATGAAAGACAAGCGCCAACAGTGATCTGGAATGACACGAGGCAACGGTGGTCTGGAAAGACAATAATCAACGGTTGTCTGGAAGAACAAGCGTCAACAATGATCTTAGAGGACAGGCAGCAACAGTAGTCTGGAAGGACAAGCATCAACAGTGGTCTGGAAAGACAAGAATCAACGGTGGTCTGGAAAGACAAGCGTCAACAGTGATCTGGAAGAGCAAGCGTCAACAGTGATCTTAGAGGACAGGCATCAATGTAGTCTGGAAGGACAAGCGTCAACGGTGATCTGGAAGGACAAGCGTCAACAGTGATCTTAGATGACAGGCAGCAACAGTGATCTGGAAGGACAAGCGTCAACAGCGATCTAAAAGGACAAAATTCAACGTGGTCTGAAAGAACAAGCGTCAACAGTGATCTGGGAGGACAGACAGCAACAGTGATCTAGAAGGACAAGCGTCTACAGTGGTCTGGAAGGACAAGCGTCAACAGTGATCTTAGATGACAGGCAGCAACAGTGATCTGGAAGGACAAGCGTCAACAGTGATCTTAGAGGACAGGCAGAAACAGTGATCTGGAAGGACAAGCGTCAACAGTGATCTGGAAGGACAAGCGTCAACAGTGATCTTAGAGGACAGGCAGAAACAGTGATCTGAAAGGACAAGCCTCAACAGTGATCTGGAAGGACAAGCGTCAACAGTGATCTGGAAGGACAAGTGTCAACAGTGATCTGGAAGGACAAGCGTCAACAGTGGTCTGGAAGGACAAAAATCAACGTGG